CAGCTCCGTCTGCTTCTACACTATTTAGTTTTCCTGGTTCATTTTTATTTCCCATTTTTACAATTCTTTTTTTTTTTCTTTTTGGTTTTCTACTTTGTTTTCTCTAATCTTCAAATTTTATCTTTCTTCCTACGCTCTTCTGTCTTTTCTCCTCGACCTTTTAACTGTTGATCCTTAGATTTCCTTTGGCTCCACATTCGTCTCTTTCCACCTCTTTCTATACATGCACTCTTCTCTTCGACTCCTCCCACACTCTTTTCTTCTTTTATTTCTTTTCCCATCTGTCTCCTGGCCTTTTCACATTTTACCTTTTTGAAGCTGGGTCTCTAGCAAAATTTTCACTGCACACTGAAATGCACAGAAGTGGAATGTGTGCGTAAATATGGTTTCTGCAGTTCTGCTTATATTGAGCAATATGTCGCGATAAGCAATAAATTAATTAATTGCACAATAAATTTAAARGAGTGGATAATTTTCATTTACCTGCTTGTTTAGAGAACCAGCAGTGCAGTGGATAACTGGTTATTTGAAAAATAGGAAACAGTTTGTTCAAATTAACGATATAAAATCTGAACTCAGTAATATCACATGTGGAGTTCCTCAGGGTTCTATACTTGGACCAAAGCTGTTTATTTTGTATGTAAATGATTTAGTAAATGTATCAGAGTTGTTTAAATGTGTTTGCTGATGACACTACATTTTTTTGTTTGGGTAGAGATATAGAARAGATGTTGGAAAGGATATGAACAGAATTTGTAAAAATACAAACATGGTTCAAACTTAACAAATTGTCATTATACAAATTGTCATTAAACTTGGATAAAACTAATTACATGATATTCAGTAATAGAAAGTTTCTACGTGTCTCCATCTTTTTGACTCCTTAGTGTAGGGAGGAGTGAACTCTGGTGTCAGGTTTGCCAGATGCATGATCTGGTAACTTATGTAGGATGAGAGACCCATGAACATTTAGCTAGAGGAGTGTGGTTTACTAACTCCTCCTTTTAGCTGGCGAGGGCACCTCAGGATGCCCTCAATTCACAGTACCGAACCTTTGCAAAGAGTTGCTTTTRCCACACTAAGTAAATTTTGTAAAACTCCGCAAACTTCCTAAGCGGCAACGGGGTGATCCCAGATTTTTTTTTACCATTTTACAATATATAAAAATTTCATAAACTTACATTAATTAATCATTACATTAGTTTAAATGTTCTCTAAGGAATATTGCAATAAATAATATTATTAATACTAATTTTAAAATAATTTCTCAGACAATTTATTTTCCAGCAAAATTTGTTATCGTGACAGGCCTAGTAATATGTTCACATTTTTTGAAGGGCCTATGCACCCTTTCTATCGCCAACAATAAGCTTGGTGTTCCCCAAAGTTTTAGAAGAATTATGTTTGGATTTACATTTTTAGAAGAATAAAATGCGCCCAACAGGCTGCATCAAGCCATTGTATCACATAAACCCTAACCAGCGATTTGACATGTTTTGCAAATAAATGTCTCAGCATCTCTGCAGAAATAAATAACTCTAAATACTAATAATGAGGCTTCTGTTTTAGGTAATAAATTATGTAAAATTGCTTTAAACATTGATGGTAAATAAATGCATCATATATGTTTCATAACAGCGAGCTAAATAATTTTGGCAATGGCTCTATTGAAACTGACAGACTTTTTAAACAATATCTGCAACGTCTTACTGCAAATTAGGGCTGTGTATTGGCAAGAATTTGGCGATACGATACATATCGTAACAGAGGGGTCACGATACGATATATCCCAATATATTGCGATACTGTAAGCAAGGCAATATATTGCGATATATTGCGATTTTTTTTGTCCTAACGTTCTATTAAATAAAAACCTCTTATTGAAAAAAAAGGAAGAAAAGCTAATGTTTACTTACAACGCTAATGCTACCCTTACTCTCTGGRGCTCAAGAGGTAGAGGAGCCAAATGGCTGGCTCACTGCTGCCAACTAGTGGCCAGAGGCTGAACTACAACAAAAAAATGAATGGTTGGCAAGAAGGTTGACATTTTAAACCTTAATAAGAAATCAATACAGGGCTTTAGAATATCGATACAATATCGGGAAATGAAATATCGCAATATTTTAGTGTATCGATATTTTCTTACACCCCTACTGCAAATGTTAAAGGATCTGATCTTAATGAAGTAGATTCCGCTCTGTCCTCTTTTTATCTGCTAATCATCTAACTTTAGTCAGTACCAGTGGTATTTTTATGCTCTCTTTGGGGAAATCTCATTAGTTGAAGCACGAAGTAAGCAGCAATGTAAATGCATGAGATTTATAATAACAGGATTAGTTCGGTCTCATTGCACAGTGCAACAATTCAAACTGGGCTTTGGATACTCAACTATAAAATAAGCCTTCAGAGTTGGCGATGAGGAGCTGATCAAGACCGCGAGAGCATGAAATATGTCCAACATTAATTTACACATGGGACAAATAACAGCTTGCCCACTACTAATTAAGTGTTGAAATACCTTTTTTTTTCTGGCAAGAATTTTTTTTCTACTGATTATGGCACCTTTTCAAACCATTAACTGGTAGAAAACTCACCAAGATGTTTTTTTTATTATTATTTATTTTTATTTTCTGTAAAAGAAACCCCCCTGTCTTTTTCATTTCATATTATTTTTCATTCTGTACTTTCTCCCCCTCCTTATTCTCTGTTTTTTTATGCCTCTGTTGTTCTACCTGTTTAAAAACTGTATTGGCCACTTTGTTTTCTTGTCTCTGCATTTCATTTCTCTTTTCTTTCCCCATTTCTTTTCTTTTTTTTTTTCTGTCTGCCAGGCCTCTGTCTCGTTTAACTGTCTTCTTTTATCAACTTAGAAGTGTCTATATTTTCTCTTCCTTCTTTTTCACCTTATCGGTGTTCCTTTGCCACTGTTTTCCATTACCTGTTTTTATTTATCACCCACCTTTTTGCTTCGAGGTTTTTTAGTTGTATTTTTTTTTTCAATTTTTTTCTCCCCCTATCTTCCTATATTTATACCTGTTGTCGACCTTCCCTCTTCTTTCCCTCCCCATTGTTTTTTTTTAATCTCTTTCTCTGGACCACTGTGGTGGATGATAGCTGTCAGGAGATCTCATCACTGAGTCTCTCTTATTACATGATTGCAGGGTAATTATCATGTGAAGTTGTCTTTGCCCGAATCTATAAAAGACAACTAATGTCTTTTTAATGGGATTTGGAGTTTGGAGACTTTTTTTTTTTTTTTGTCTTTTGTAGTTTCTGTGGACTCCTCAAAATTTATTGCATTTACACATGATTGGCCTGGAACAGTGTGTTCTGATTAAGTGGCTGATATTTTTTGTGTTTTTTTTTAGAACGGTGTCTCGCCCGCAGTTGTCGGCCTTTGATTTTAAACTCTCGGTCTTGTGGCTTTTTTCAAAACGGTGCCGTAACTTGCCAACATCTGATTAGACCTGAACTAACGAAGCTCCCGTAATGCTTGGATGATTTGGACGGCGCTCTGGCTCGGACTTTAGAGGAAAGCGAAGGTCATGTTGCTTCTTAACATTGGATCTCGGTGCTGATAACCCAGGTCTGCCTCAGTTCTGTGTCCATAATTTAATTAGATCTACTTCAGAGAACCCACGAAGAATTTTCATTTTTCGTACGCAGCAGAACATCTACAAACTTATTTCCAATGCTTTTATTTATTTATTTTCAGATACTTTGTATATCTGATAAATGAGTTTTCTATAAAACYTAACACATTTACCATCGGTAGCTTTTAAAAGTATATCCACTTGAACTTTAGTATGAAAAAATTGTTTGTTAAAACCCTGAAAATAAAGCCGTGCTTAAATAGATGTGTTCATTGCGGAATTTTCAATGTTTTTTTGCTTTAGATGAATGCTGCCTTTCTGTTTCGTGGAACACCATCCATTCAACTTTTTCTGCATTTAAATCAATTAAAACATACCAAAGAGCTGCTTCTGATTCATTGTCAGTAAACATTACTGACTCAGTGCCATTTGATCCCGTTTCAATAAGTGGTGATAATGTAATTTCAAGATCTTTTTGAAAATGCACATTCATACATAGAGACAATTTTGACACATTTTTAAATTTGTTTATTCATTTCATATAAAAATAAAAATTTTATACACAATAAAGAGAAAAAAATCACACTTGAAATGAAAGGAGGCAGAAAGAAGAAAAAAATTCTTATAATATCTGCCCCTTTTTTCCAAAATTAATTTCAAACAATAATAATCAAAAAACAAAACAAAATAAAAAACTTCTATTCCTTTTCAAACAACAACTTTTGATACAGTTTTATATTTCTTTAAAATCGTTCTCTTAAACACATTGAACCAACATTTTTATAATCACTTTCCAGATTATTCCACAATCTTATTCGGCATCGACCCTTCAAATTTGTTCGAATTTTAGGTTTTATAAACATCTCAAGTCCCTTAAGATTATATAAACTTTCTCTCTTAACAAAATATAAATGAATGTTTAAAGGTAAAAATTATGAGCCTTAAACATAATCTGCAAGATATTATAATCAACCAACTCATAAAATTTTAATAATTTCAATTTAGAAAATAGTATATTCGATGGATGACAGTAATGTTTTCTGGTGATAATTCTGACGGCTGTTTTCTGTAAAATAAAAATAGGATTTCTGATTGTTTTGCACGCTTTACCCCAGACTTCAACACAGTAAATCAAGTGTGGCACAATTATTGCATTATATAATATAAACAGTGCATTAAATAAGTCCCTTACTTTGTATAATACTGCAATGGATTTGGCTATTTTTGTTTTTAAATGGTTTATTTGAGATTTCCATGACAGCTTTTCATCAATAATGACACCCAAAAACTTAACTTCACTGACTCTACATTTTAATATGTTTCCTCTAGTTTTAGCCTTTTTCTAAGTGACTTTAACTCTGAACATAAACATTGTTAACATTTTCCCTCTTGTCTCTCTGTCTGCAGCTTGAGTCCTACTGCTGTCTGTGATGCCCTCCCATGACGCCCAGGTCAGGAGCTGACACTGCCAGTGAGCGGGAGACGCCACTGCACAGCCGGTCTTTGGTCTGCATCATCAGCCGGTTCCTACCCTCCCTCTTACACACAGGAAACTGCTCTTCCTCTCGCCTAACAGTATCCACCGCCATCAGCTACGATTCATCCCAGTAAGATTTGCTTAAAAACCCCGACACGCTGACGTCCTCGATCACCAGCACAATCAGCCAAAAACCGCAATCTTGTCAACACAATCAGCAGCACCAGCAGCACCATAACCACCACCAGCAGCAACAGTAAGCATGTCCAGTCGTAGAAAGTCCTCCACTCCATGCATGGTTCGGGTCATCAATGACGTGCCTGATGATCAAGATGATTCAGAGGATGTGATGGACATTAAAACACTGCCCTGTAACATTATGACTGAAAACGAAGAATCGGAATCACTTGAATCCACAGAAAAAAAACAAAGCCCACAACAGGATTTTGTAGAAGGTACAGACCAGCAGACAATGTCAAAACAGGCAAAAACACAAAATATTGAGCCATTAGTACAAAAGGAGCTTGAACCTGATGTCATTGAAAATGTTGAATCCAGAGGATTGAAAGACAAGGAAGACTCCGAATCTGAACAAGTATCACAGAAAAAACAACCAAGAGGCTATGAGTGCAAATATTGTCCATTTTCGACTCAGAAGCTGAATGACTTTAAGGAACACGTGGACTCCAGCCATCCGAATGTCATTCTAAATCCATTGTACCTCTGTGCTGTGTGCAATTTCAACACCAAGAAGTTTGACTCACTCACAGAGCACAATGAGAGCCAGCATCCAGGCGAGACGAACTTTAAGTTCAAACGGATAAAAAGGAACAATCAGACTATCTTGGAACAGACAATCGAAGGCAAAGACAATTCAGTTGAATGCGAAATGACAAATGATCAAGGTGAAGGCAACGGCGCGTCTGTGTTTCCACCTTGCATATCAACCACGGTGAAAAACCCAGGTATTGTACCGTCACTCTACGGAGGGGCAGAACTTACAAACCGGCTGGAGGGTTTGATCCAGAAGGATCAAATCACAGCAGTGAATATCAATGGAACAGTCATCATCCCTGAACCCACCATCATCCAAGGGCTCTCCCATGTCTCCCCAATGCTCCAGCGCCCACCCAACTTTAATTCTGTACCAAAAATAGCCGTTCCTTTGAACACTACCAAATATAACCCATCTTTAGATGATAACCTGACTTTGATTGCCTCCTTTAATAAGTTTCCTTACCCAACACACGCTGAGCTGTCATGGCTTACAGCTGCCTCCAAGCACCCCGAGGAACAGATCAAAGTGTGGTTCACCACGCAACGACTGAAGCAAGGCATCACCTGGTCTCCGGAAGAGGTGGAGGAAGCGAGGAAGAAAATGTTCAATGGTTCTATCCCTCCTTCCCATCACACATTCACTACTTCCATTTCCCTGTCCTCTCCCAAAGCCTCCAAGCAGCCAGTTGTCCACACAACAGTGGAGCACCCAGGTCAAGTTCGAACAACTGCATCCAACCTAAGTATTGTCACTACCACACCGGCTGGTTCTACCCACACCCTGAAAAGATCCCTACCAGCACACCTTATGTCAGCGTTTGGTCCAGATTCAAAACGACCTATCATGGCAGTCGCTCCCCATTCTGGCGACCCTAAAGACAAGGTCCTAATGGCTCCTCCCCCACCACCACCCCCTCCCTCGCAGAAAGACCGCATGCCAATGGCCCCACCTTCCATTCCCATGGAGAACAAGCGACCTGTAGCAGCTTCTCTGGTCAATTCAGAAGCAAAGAGGCCATCTCTTGCTGTGCCTTTAATGCCACCACCATCATTGTCGTTATCACAATCTTTGTCATCCAAAGGGAAAATTCTCTCTGCAATAGGAAACTCGAAGGCAAAGCCACCTCTAAGCTCAATGCCCTCAATAGTGTTTCCAGAGTCCCTAACAAGACCAATGATAGCTCCCCCACCTATATGTGCCCCTCCATTTAAAAACTCTTTACTTGTCCCTCGTACTTCGAACGTCAGTTCCAAAGAAAAGCATACTAATGCCCACGCATTGCCAGCTCCTGATCTGACTCTACCAAGCTCCCCTCCACCCAATAACTCTCATTTAAAGCGGCCAACCATTATACAGTCTGTTCGCACTCCAGCAAAAGCCCCTTCCCAAATTCAGGGGTTCCCTATCAATGGCAAAACACTAAAGGAACAGCAAGGTTTGGAGCTGAAAAACAGTTACCCCAGAGGGGATAAGGTCATCAGTCCTCTGGCAGAAGCTAATGGGACATCACGTATTGACAGTAAATGGTCCCAGGATCAGACATTTCCTGCTCACAACAACGGAATTATACATTTAGACGGTGATGAGACACCAGCAAGCCGAAAGCAAGATTTTCAGCAAAAGTCCTCGGTCTTGACTCAATTTCCCTTGCTAGAGAGGATGAAAGGAAAGTCAGCAAAACAACTGAAGATCCTAGAGGAGAGTTTCTTGCGGAACAGCTTCCCCACACATAGCGACGTGAACAATCTGGCAGCCACTACTGGCCTGTCTCACCATGAAATCGACAGCTGGTTTGTGGAGCGGCGTGCACTACGTGACAACTTGGAACAAGCCCTTCTCAACTCCATGGGCACCAAGAAGACAGGAATGGGTGATTTTGCTGGCATAACTGAGAAACAACTACATCCGCAACAGCATCCAACCCTCCAGATGAATGGCATTCACAAAACAAGCACGAACATGGGCAGTCTCAAAAGCTCTTCTCCACCTCTGCACGCCCTCTCCATTATTTCTCCCAGCGCTATTGCAGCCTCCATCCCTAACCCAAACTCTTTCTCAGTGCCTCCAGACAACCGATCACTGGCGCTCCTCAAGGACGATTTTGCTCAAACACGGTGGCCTTCCCCTGAGGAGCTCAGCCAGCCGGACAGTCGGACAGGACTTGCTCGCTCTGAACTCGCCCGCTGGTTCACGAACACACGGCTGCAGAGCTGCGGCATGGAACTGAAAGAACTTTTCTACAACAATGGAATGAATGGAGGGCAGAGGCAGCTGGTGTATTCCCCTGAGAGCACTCCTCCCAACATCTTCCAGCGTTGTCAGGACGCAGCCGTAACAAACAACAGTAAGGTGCTGGAGGTTGAGCTGGACTGGCTGATGGACCAGCGTTCAAACAGTCAACAGCACACGGAGCTCCAAGACCGGTTTGCTGGCAGGTACTTGTCAAGAACTCTGTTTTAATATGAGAATAGACTTCTGGGATTTCATATAGAGTGAGCTTTCAAGACTTAAAACACTAGTTCTACAGTTTAAAATAGGTATACAACTATTAATTAAGTTGCACTTGGAGTGTGAAGCATTGCTTAAATTGAATTCAGTTTCTTATATAGTGCCAACAAAACACATATAAAAAAATTAGACAGGTCCCATTCAAATTTTATCATATATACAGTATATATAGTTGGCTTGGAAACATCAAACTAGACCCTAAACTCAATACTGTGAGTTAACATGATTGCTATACATTTATATGCTTACAGGGTTCCCACGGGTCCTTGAAATCTTTGAAAGTTTGTGAATTTGAAATAAATTATTTCAAGGCCCTGGAAAGTTTGTGAAAACAGCCAAAAATTACACTTGTCCTTGAAAGTCCTTGAATGTTTTTTGGGGATTGAAATTCTCTATTCACGACTGATTTTCATCATCTTTTAAAAAAATTAATTATAAAATTAAATTAAAAAAACATTTGTTGCGGTGGATAACTCAGGATTACGGTAAACTGACGTCCTTGATTCTGACTCAACAACTTCTGTGTTGTTCAGTTTTTCATTGAATTTACATATTAAACCTGTTTTATTGGTAACATTCTGCAGTAGTAGTAGGTAAATGCCATTGCGCATGGTTCTTTAATTTGAGGAAATTGGTACTGGAAAGTCCTTGAAAGGTCCTTGAATTTGATGATGACCAAAGTGTGGGAACCCTGTGCTTACATAGTAAATTACCTGAGTCTCAGTTTGATTAAAAATATGTCATTTATCATAACAGTTAAGTCTATTTAACTTCCAGAGCCTCGGTTGCTAAATTGTATGGTTCCAAATCTTCAAAACTTTGGTTTCAGTCTCATTTATTTTCCATATTTACTGGTAGATTCAGCAACGTTTCTGCTGGTGACCTGTGCATCTGAAATGAATTTGCACTGCCGCTCCCTCTGCGGATCTGAACTGTTGTTTTCTTGTTGACTCGCTAACATCGTTTTCAAGGCATTAACCCACAAATTTACGGGACATTATTTTTAGTCTTCCTTCTCGTCAAGCAGCTTGGGACATGTTTGGCCAGATAACYTGGCCATTAGTTTGGAAACCAATATCTGCACAATAATGTTGCAAGCTTTTTATTCTTCCCATGAGGAAGGTCTAGATTCGGGTTCAGGCTCTGAACCCCACCCCCCAGTATGAACCTGCACTGGCAGCACAATTAAATCCTTCTTGCTGCTGCTGATTCTAGAAACCCTTTAACAAAACAAACTCTTTCATGTACATCCAAAAATATTACCAAAGAAATCTTTAGTTTTTTTTGTAATATAAAAGATGTTGCTCAGTTCTTGTTACACAAAAAGCTTCATCAGTTTATTATCTCTACATAGAATGACTGAAATGATCTTAATGGCTAGTTTTTCTCATTAATTAAATAATGTTCCCCTTACGACCCACTTGTCTTAAGCCCGATGGTGAGAAATCACCTCGGTGCTTTAAAATTTAAGAGATTAACAGTTCACTTTGATTCTGAACAAGAAATTTAATCCCCTTAAAAAAACGTTGCCTTTGTTTTGCCGTGTCTGCTGAGGATTTGCATGAGTGAAAAGACAAGTCTACATAAAAGATCCTAAACTCAGTAAGACTGATAAGATTACCGTTTTGTAAAGACGTTATGTCCATGACCACTTGGTAATTAACAGATATAAAATTTAACAAAACAAAATAAATGAAAACATCTTTTTCTCAAACTTTTAATTGGTCATTATCTGTCCCTGTGGTCCGTCCTAAAGACTTGCAGTGTGGAATGAGCATGCCTTAAACCGTCCAGCATTTCTACTCTGATTTGGTTAAATTCCGATGTTATTCCTTCTATTATTAAAGTTTAACAAACAGGTCAACCTGTCTTTGTTTTAAACATATCTGCAATTATCTTGAGCATAATTATCTTTAAACGAAGACGAGAAGGTGCGAACTAAACAGGGAACCAATTTAAAAACACGCAGGGCAGCCCTGTTGGCACATTAAGATATTAACAATCATATGAGGCTCATTAGTGGTGTCCAGCAGGGTTAGGTAGCTGTATATAGGTCAATAAGTGAACTTAACGATCCCTCTGCGCTGCATGGTTTATGTCTACTGTTACCGTAACTGTGGTGTTAAAACTGGTTTAACAGACTGAGGCAGCAGAGCGTGGCGGAGATGAAGAACGGGGCTCAGAATGGCGGCGTCTTGGGAGGAGCGCGGGAGGTGTTCGGGAGCTGGCTGGAGGACGGACCTTTGAGGAGAGGACGGGACCTGCTCCTGGACAGAGACAGGAAGATGGCGGAGGACGCGTCTGGGCGGCTTACGGGATAAACGGTGAGAGTTTGGTCAGCTCTTGAATCCGTCTTTTTTACATTTAAATCATTTAGTTGGGGTCTATGTAAAGTGGAACTGCAATGCTTTGGTTTGAATTCCTCTGTATTGTAACTCTGCAAGCCCCGCCCCTTTTCTGAGGTGTGTCTCAGATGAACTCGTTTTGAAGCTGTCTCTTTAAATCCAAATGAGACACTTCATCATCAGTGGTTTTTTTTTAATAGAATAAAAAGTAAGAGAGAGAAAAAAGTGAAATGTAATGAGAAAGAGTGAAAGAGAGATTAGAAGATATGTGAAATATATATTAAGAAAACACAAGACAGCACACCGACTTCTTGGCTCCACACCTACAAAAACAAAGATAGCAAAACCACAGCAACAAAAAATGCTTATCTATGTAATTATAATTATAGCCTTCCTGAAAACCATACCCATATACATATATAAATTTATACATATACACATAAACATATCCATACCTACCTATCCAAAGTCTTTCATATATACAGTATATACACATACACATATACATATATCTATACAAACACATATGCACATACCATTCAGTCAGTGCCCGAATAGAAAACCCAGGATGTAAACACCTGTTTGTGTGCGGTTGTGAGCATGCATGTATGTACAAGATCTCTCCAATGGAATGTTTTAATGTGACTGTGGAGGACCACAGACCCGACCCGCAAAGCCGGAAGCCGACATAAGGGAGGCCAGCGCCAAAGACCCCGAGAGGGACCCCAAGCACGCAGCCCCTAGGGACACCCGCGCCGGAAGGTCCGCCCACCCACCCCCCAAAGAGGACCACCGGAGAGAACCGGAAGAGCCCCACCAGTGACCACACACAGCAACCCCTGGGGCCAGCAGTGACGAACTCACAGGCCCAGCCGGTACCCACCGTGCCAGAGTGGATCCAGGCATGGACACAGAGGCCCGGGCCCCCAGGGCGCATCCCCCAAGGCCAAGGCCCGACAGGACCAGAGGGACCCAAGCCCCACTGGGCCGCCACCGGACCGAGCCGGCACACGCCCAAGCACCCAGCCCCAGACAACGAGAGCCACCAGCGCGCCGGTGGGCAAAGGCACAACCCACCAGAGGACAGCACGGCAGGGGAGTAATGGGCCCTCAAATGATCCCGAAGAAGGGGCCGCCCAAGTCCCAGCCTGACAAAAATACAAGCATACATAAACACAATCACACAGTCCCACCCTCATCCTCTCATCCACTCATTAAAAAAAAAACAAAAAAACAAATGAGACACTTCACATTCCGTCCCCCTCCAGTTTCCAGAGCGGCCCATTGTACTTTCATAGAGGGGTTAAAACTATAGCAGTGCAGAATCTTTTATTGTTTTACTAGTTAATTAAAAGACGTCAACAAGGGAAGACTWGTCCATCCAGCCTTACATGTTGGAGCCAGAGTCTGACCCAGAGCCAGAGAGAAACTGTGATGTAAGAGTTCAGAAAATATCATAGAATATGGAGAAAACTGAACAGGTTGAAAAATATGACCCAAACAGAATATAAAGATATCTTTGCAACACCAGAAGAGACTAAATTAATCTTTTCTTTTCCTCCAAGTACACAACAAAATCTATTTAACGGCTATAAAAGTGGATTTTGCATGATATGTCATGTTAAAACACGGATGTTCTTCAAGATAAACAGCCCTTTAATGTGAAATAGACACTTGATTAAAAAAAAGTCATATTACACTGTACAACAGGGACTATTCAACTATATTGCTCAGTGGGGCCACTGTTACTGCAGGCCAACAGCTCAGGGGCCGAACATCCAGCAATTAAAGTCATTATGTAAATAAACCAAGTATCACAAACATCTGTTACCTTTGAAATTGTTTATTTTGCTACATTTAATCATGAATATAACATACAGAACCCTATGTAATGAAAGTAATGATAATTAAACAACAAAAACAAAAAGAACATGTTATGTCTCATATTTAACGCAAATATTAATTTGACATCTGACTTGCCAAATTTTTTAAACCAATTTTATTTTCACTTTCATAGTTTTATCTTCAACTCCTTGTAATTTTAACTGTCATGAGTTTACATAGAAATGGTTTTTACCAACTTGTAGCCAAGATTCTGGTGTTTCTGGAGATATCAAACATGTCCATGTTTAACTAAAAGAACTTAGAGTAATTAAAGTAGAAAGCCGGGGGTTTGGGTTTAAAAGATGAGTGAACCAATTAGCGGGCCAAACTTTGGTCACTTGGCCCGCAGGCCACAAGMTTCCCTCCTGTACTGTTTGAGCTGATACATCAAAATTAAATCACTGTTTTAGAGGCCCATTTACTAGCATCCATTCACTTGGCTACTCTGCCTCATGCAATCTCCAGTTGTCCTTTCAAGACAAGGWTTGCAGTTCAGTCCTCAACCCTTTGATACGATGGTGTTTGGTCAAAACCGTGAGCCCCGGAGCATTTCCTGTGGCAGCATCTCGCACGGTGTGTCAAGAAGAAACAGATTGCAAACGTAGCTAACATTAAAAAAAAGGTGCAAACCCTTTACCATATGTTGCACGCACTGTTTGCTACTCGGCAGTCACAGTTAACCCAACACCAGATCCTTTTTTTTTTTTTTTTTTTTCCTTTTTCTATTTTAGGCCGAATTAGGTGCAGAGTTTACAAATTTATATTTATGCTGTGTTAACAGACACTTAAACTCAGTCATTAGGATTGCAGACTTGTGAAAAAAGGCGCCGGTTGTTGTTTTTCAAAGTGTTTGGTGCGTGCAGATAAAAAGCCTCGCCAACAGACATAAATTTACAGTTAATGTTTATACTTAGAAGTACAATTTTAAAATTCACACAAGGATCTGAATATTATTGTGTGGGTTAAAAAAAAGATGAAAGATTCTCATTAGAATGCTTCAATTTCTTCTCATTCCTGGATTAACACGGACATTGCCCACTTAACTTGAGCAATCATAAGATACTGTAGACCGTGCATCACTTTAAAGTTCACTAGACAATATTTTTAAGCTCTATATACCAAGACATTCTTAAAATGTCCTTATTTTCCCGTTAGGACCAGATTTCTCTCAGCATGGCCCTCATTGGTCCCCCCCACCTCACCACCCATTGGTGTCGAAGCCAACCTCTCGATCCCGGCTACAAACAAATGTACCCCAGCCAGTCTTTGTTTGTGTGTGTAGCTGTGTGAGTTTTGGCTAAACACTTACTTGGTTCAAATTTAAGGGGTGGGGGGGGTTGGGGAGCAAAAAACAAAAAAAACCACGGAGGCCTAAAATAGCAGCAGACCCCCTGGTGTGGCAAAGTTTGATAGATGAAAGGCTCTGCCTAGGGCAAAGAGTGATGACAGAGTCTGCTGCTTGTTCCCTCCCCTGTCTGTTCTGACAGAAGATGGAATGTCTTAATGTGTCTGCATGGGTTTTTGCTTATCAAAACACAATCTGTTCAAATAATCTCTTCAAGTCAAACATCTATTTAAAAAAAAAAGGGTGAGACTCAACTTCTTACACTGTCACTTTTGAAAGATTGCCTTTACTTTCGGATGGCTTTAAAATCAGAACTTGACAGCTGCAATCAATAATCAATATGCAGCGTTTTGAATACCCAACAGTGATTTGCTGTCAGAGGTGTTTGAAAAGGATTTCTGCACCTTTTTCCTTCAACGCTGCAGTTCAAAAATACTCTATTTGTCCCACAGGGGACAACTGCAGATAAGTTGGCTTGCCACCTGAAGTCAAAACAAATAGATCATMCATGCTGTCAAAATAAATGCAAATGTGTTTCTGCTCTTAGAGGAGGATTTTTTAAAAAGCTGAAGTAGAAAATAAATATAAATAAATAAATCG